GGCGGGGCAGTGCTTGTGCGTGGCCTTATGCAGGGAATGTGTTTTCGCAAGGTGCGGGCTGAAACGCCTTGCAAGCGAGATAAAAATGGAGCGTTCCGTCTTTATAATACGTCTTGTAAAATAGCCTGGTAATGCGCTTTTATGGTAACCGCTTGGGAGTCCTGTATGTTTCTGAGTGACTGAAATACTGCCCAAATTTGAGAGGTTCGACAGCTGGGAAGTGAAATTCTGCAGCCCATGTACCACATATATGGTGCTCCCAAGTAAAAGTACTCCAAAACCAAAGTTCAATAGATTTATTGTAGCCATGCACAGAAATGATCAGAGCCTCAGTTTTGCAAGCCCATATGGCTGACTGGTCATGAGTAGTGCCATCGATGACAGTGGCTCTGTGCAGGACCAGAGGCAGCACCAGCTTGTGCGGTAGAGATTACTTGGGGAAGTGGCCGCAGGGCTTGGGCCACAACTTCAGAGGCATCTGTATGCTTTGCAGTTGAAAACAGCAATGAGGCAATGATGCTGACAGCGGTCAGAATAGGTGAAATGGAGTAATCGAATGGCATGAGAAGATTTTGGTCAGTGGATGAAGTACTGCACCGTTGACCCACCTCATTACTGAAATATAGTTGGTTGCTCCTTGTAGCACATTTAACAGCTAGGTACACCTTTAATAGAATGCTCAATAATTTTTCTCATTTCTTTTTTATCACAGATTTGTACGATTGCTCATGTAACTGCCAGAAAAATGCCAGCCATTCACCGACACGAAGAGGAGAAATACTTCATAAATGTTGAAGGCAGGAAAGAATCTGTACCAAGTATACATGACCCCCCTACAAGGGAACTCTCTGTTGTTGTGCCTTCATACAATGAGGAAGACCGGTGTAAGATTTTTCTTGTTTTGAGAAAAAGAAGAAAATCTATCTATTGTTACTCTAATAATGCAGAGGTCAGTTTATGTTAGCAGTAGATTCTGGCAGGCCACATTATGTGTCTGAGTGTGGACACTGTTTCCAGAAAACAGTCCAAGTACATTGAATTTCAAAATTAAGACACTGTGTAACTTGATTTCTGCTGCTAAAAATAGCATGGGGCACTTGTAAAAATCCTCTTTATTTTAGTGAAATCCAGCAAAATGGCTGCTCATTGCCTCTGTAAATGCTGTAAGGCAAAAAGTACAAAAAGACTTTTAAAATTTATTTGAGTGCTTCCCACTTAGTAAACAACAGCAGCAGCTTCAGACAAACAGTAAAAAGGATGACCTCATGGGTTTCTGTTTGACTTGGCCATATATATGAGTACCTGATACTAAAAAGTAAAGGCTTTCAGATGCAATAGAAATAATCAAGCTGTCATTCCTTTTCTTGGTGAGTGAAAATACTGAGCGGTTTGGGATTCCATTAAGAAAGATGTTGACAAATAAAGTGTATCTGGACACAAGGTAGACCTTGCTTAAATAGATAATGTCATTGCTGGTTTGCAGGGTCAGTCATCGAGAAGGATTATTTTTTTTTTCCTTTAATGTTATGTAGAGACTTACATATTTCAAAATGGAAAGTTGGTTCTTACCTTCAGAAGAAATGTTTTTATCCTGTCTTAGATGTGTGATTTTTCTTCAGTGTTCTTTTTGCAATCAGAAAGGACAGGACTTAGAGTTGCAGGTGCTAAAGCTTGTTTAATGGAGGTGGTGGTGTATGAAAGAAGCAATTTGCTCAGCTTTACTTTGTGTTTGTTTTCAGCTTGCTTGTGCAGGTGCTTTTTGGTGCTTTTGGTGCTTTGCCTGTTATAATCTACTAACGTGACCTCCTCCACCTTTTCTCTAGTACCTCTTATGATGGATGAAGCTTTGGATTATCTAGAAAAAAGACAGGTATTTTCATTGTGCATTCAAAATTTCTTATTTTACTATGTATTAGTGATCTATTCACTTTGTTATTTTGGTATATGTTAAAACAGTATTACTTAGCCACTTAGAAGTCACACCTCTGTCTCTTATCAGTTATTTTTAGACTGAATGCCGGAAGGTATTTTTAAATTAAGTAAAAATTTAATATACTACTATATGATGAAAAATCTTTGTATGCATGATATCTCTCCAATACAGAGATTAAGGATTAACCATACGTTTAGCTTTCTAAACTAAACCCTGGTTTGTTCCAACAAGTTTCTTAAGCATCTGTTCTTTATTAGGATTTGTTCTTTGGGTAAGAAGCCAATTGTGAAAGTTTGTGGGTTTTGTTTTGTTTGGGTTTTCTTAACAGTGATGTTGTTGTGAGCTTGCATCTTTTACATCTAAATTAACTTCTAGATTCTAGATGGTAGCTGAAGAAAACTGACAAGCCAGTGTAATGGAACACACATCAAATATGGCAAAATTCTTTAATTATACCATCTTAACAAATTTACTACATCATATTGGTGTCTATGGGCAACCATGAATGAGTTAAAAACTGCTAGGGAGAAAAGAATGCTGATGTTTGAAAGATCTACTACATACTTAAGAAATGGGATGAAATGCATTATTTCTGGTTTTATTTTCAAGAAACGAGATCCTTCATTCACGTATGAAGTAATAGTGGTTGATGATGGTAGTAAAGATCACACTACACAGGTAAGAAAAAGAAGTATCTTACCAAGTAATCAGAGGTATGGATTTTTGTACTGCATTTGTGGGCTATAACAATGTTTTGCATTTATATTTTGGTACTTGAAGGAGTTGACAATTAAAATTCATGTTTCTGAATACTTTCTGTAATTGTCCTGTATGCGTTGTGGATGTCATATACACACATACATACGCATATAATTCTTTTGCAAATACTAGTATTCTTGATCAGTGGCTGTGCAGCCATTTTCCTGTAGCTGAGATTCTAAAAATTCTAATCTTGAAGTTAATTTCAAGAAATTTCTTACAAAATATTCTACATGTGCATAGTGATATGAATATGAACTTGAGGAAGCTAAAAAGCCTTTTAAAATAGCTGATTTGTACTGTGATTGACAGAACAGCTGACATGGTGCATAGCTCTTTCCCGTACCCTTCATGGCATTGTTAATTTAAAAATCCCTGTGCCAGTAGTATTTTCAGAATTGTTCTGCATTCTTCTGCTTTGACTGTGATGTGTGTCACTGGAAAGGAAGGCTGGCCAACTTCAAGGTTTTTTTACTACTACTTGGAAGATGTTTGAGTTAGCTACTAAAATGAATGCTACTTTTTCATTTACTTCTATTAAGCTTGTCCATTAAGGATTGCTCACATATATATTTTTTGGCTGCTTTGCATTCCTTCTAGCATCATTTCTAACTGAGGCCATGGGCCTCCAGACTTACAAGGACTTGAGACAACCTTTAGAAAAACTTAGAGGAGAAAACTCATGCTTTCTCTTCCCCACAACATGAAACAAAATGTACACATCCCTGCAGTATGAATGGGATTTTAAATCACTGTTAATTTTTGTTTAAAAACCACAGATAGCAGCAAGACAAGTGAGAAATAGGTAGCAGTAGTAGAAAATTATTTTTCTTCGATTAACTATTGGTGTTGGTATAAAAGGTCTGCAATAGTATGGCAGGGAGGTTGGAACTAGGTGATCTTTAAGTTCCCTTCCAACCCCAACCATTCTATGATTCTGTGATATAAATTACATTGGCGTTGAGTTTTTTGGACTTGGCTAATGGGGTTTAGAATTGGTTGGGGGAGTATCCTGTTCTTACTGAACATGACTAGCTTTTTCAGTCTTGTGTTGACTGTGAACTGGTTTTTATTTTCCCAGATAGACTCCAGCAAACACTGGCAATATATTTGTGGCGACTGAAGTGGTTACAGCTCTGTGCTATTAATTTTTTTTTTAAAAAGGGTGAGCAAATGTAAACTTCTACCTTGATTCCTGTTTTAATTTTATGCTGTTTTTTTGTGTGTCTATCAGGTTGCAATGAAGTACTGCAAGAAATACGGAATCGACAAAGTGCGAGTGCTTTCTTTGAAAAAAAATCGAGGGAAAGGAGGAGCAGTCAGGATGGTAATTGATACTTTCATCTCCTTCTCTGTCTGAACTACTGGTGCCCAAATAATGCAAAAGATAAATCTGTGCTGTTGGACATTTTTTAATTCAATATGTTAAGAAAATGATTACCAGAAAACTGAGTACAGGTTCTATAAAATAAGGCAAAAGCTCTTTTCAAAATAAGTTTATTTTAGATCTTGGAAACAGTGTTTTCTTGCCAAGAAGATTAAAAACAAAGATTTTTTTTTTTTAATAAGAATTCTAAAGAAGAAAAGTTAGACCTGAATTCCATGTTCCTGTTAGTTCCACTTAGAAATATGTTTTTGTTTAAAAAATCCAAGCAAACAAAAAAACTGTTTACAGATTAAAGTAAAGCTTTTGCAGAGAAAATACAGCTCAATTTGCAAACATTGCTTTCCAGGTCATAGTTGAGGTTTTAAAAATGGCTAATGAACAAACACTCTCATCCAGCAAAGTTAGTGTTTACTGAAGTCCACTGCTATCACCCACACTCAGTAGTAGAACCAGCACAATTTACACTTTCACATACTCATTTTCACATAGATATTATCACAAAATCATCATGTTCTAAAAATAAAATAGCTGTTATGCATTTAGAAGGAACGTTTTTTCCTAAGATGAATGACACCTTACTTCTATGAAAAAGTGGTGTCATTTACAGGTTATCAGTGACTGTCTTTATCTGTATTTTAAGCTCTATCTTTAATACGTCAGTTTAATTCTTTTTAAGAAACATGCGTAACTATAGCAAATGGAGACAACATTAAATTAGAAAGTATAGAGCTTTTGTAAGGGATATATTTTTGAAGTTATTCCAAGAGAAGGAGAACAACTCTCTGTGATATATTTTTGCAGTGTAGAGTGGATGTATGCACTACTACTTCCTTGACAGGTTTTTCCAAAGTCACACATGCTCAGTTCCATCAGTACTTTTGGCAGACCTTCTGCTAATTGTTTTCCTGTCTGGACCCCTTCAAAAATTGTCAAAGATGTCTGACCAAGAATATGGCAACACAGGCTGTGAGACCTGTGCATCGCAAGTGTTTTGCAGTGATACTGTGACTTAAGACTTATTTCTCAAAATTATTTTCTCTCTTGAATTCTCCTGAAACAGTGTTAGGAAAAATTCCTAACACTGCATCCTCCTTTCCATAGCTCATATGCTAATAATCACTGCTTCTTTGTGCTCCCCTGTATAGCTGTAGCAACTTGTTGTCTCTCAAAGCTTTTAGTTTGCAAGCTTCTCTGGAGAGGGATTGATAACCTTTGGTGTTCGTGCGTTGTCTGTCACTGTGGGACACTACTCAGTTTGTGAAGTCTCTAGATGTAATTACCATATAAATTGATAAATTGTTGTTAGTAGCAGAATATTAAGACTCACCTGTTGTGTTCAATCTTTGAGATACCACTGTTATAGTTATTACATTAGGTTTTTAGAGTGTCTTGCAGCTAGCTTAAGACGAATACTGATTTCAAAGGTGTTGATTTTTATTGACTGTTTTGATTGCAGGGTGTCTTTAGTTCTCGGGGGAAAAAAATTCTTATGGCTGATGCAGATGGAGCTACAAAATTTGCAGATATTGAAAAAGTAGAAGAAGGTCTAAAAACTCTTCAGCCATGGCCTGTGAGTATAAATTCTTGTGAGTTTAGTTGAATACACATGCCTACAGATTGATTTTTATAATTCTCTTCAACTTGAGTTTTTTGAGGTCTGGTTGAAGATCTAAGTTTAAGTCTGCAGACCTTGGTATAAGCTTAGAAGGTGCAAGAATGGGCTGTGAGAAGGTAGCTTCCACAGAGTTCTTACCCCCTTTGCATTCACTGTGCCTATTTCAATGCAGTATAATGTTCTATTTACCATTCTTCCTTTGAAGTTGTGCTACTCTGTATAAATACCATGTGTTGCCTACTCAGTTAAAAACCCTTTTTTTCTTTGTTAACTGTTTTGTATTTTTCTTTTATCTGATGTCATACTTATACCTTTAAGGATGCATCTTAATTTCACCCTGTTTTATAGAGGTACTCTTTTCTCAGAGTTCTTAGTTTAATGACAGTATTAGGAAGAACTTTAAAAAAATTCAAAAACCTGTGGAACAAGAGCTCCTCCCTGCATAGTCATTCTCTTTTGGGTCCTAGACTTGAAAAAACTGAGGTTTATTTTCTGCTTAAATGCAGGTGGTTGAGGTACTTGAATCTAGCTTCCCAAAGTGCCAGAAGTGACGTGCAGCCTTCCAGCGGGATCTGTGAGGGATGCGTCTCTGCGAAGGGCCGCAGTCTGGGAGTGCAGGACCATGAATGCAGGAGCCACGGAGCGGCAGTGTTTCCCTCATGCTCTCCGCAGCTGCTGGTTCTCCAGCATCAGTCCTGCACTCTCAGATGTAGTAGATTTACTCTCAAATGTAGTAGATTTGAGAGATTCCGTGTGAGAAGTAGTAGCGTGAGAATAATTCTAAACCTTTTGTTTTGATCATGTCTTTTGATTTAATTTGAGATTATATTTTTGGCTGATACCGTGGCATTTTATTTGTTTGAATGTAAATCGGTGCAACAAATACTTTATTCTGTTATCCCTTCCACAGTGCAATATTTAGGGAAAACATACATTATAACATTAAGTACCTGGGAATGCTGAATGCTTATCTGTGCTGTTTAACACATTTACCGCATGCATGCCTCAGAGGAACAATGTGAGCTAAACCAGACCTGAATAAATTACAGCAATTTGTATGCACCATGTGCAAAATGTAATAAACATTAGAAGATCTGTTACTTGTAGAAAAAACTGATTTTAGCCTCAGAATCTAGCAGTAGAAAAAGTGCAGCTACAGGAAGCAGAGAAGTATACTGCTTTGAAGTTTTTTATTATACTGTTCTCAACGCAAGTTTCCACTGATTCAGAAAATGTTAGTTTAAGTAATAACTCTTTAATTTGTGTTCCTGTGCAGAACCAGATGGCTATTTCTTGTGGTTCTAGGGCTCATCTGGAGAAGGACTCAATAGCAAAGGTTTGTTTCCATTTCCTGCTGTGTACTAATACTCAAATACTGACATTATTCGATTCCACTCTGCAGATTTTACAAGTAAATAATCCATATTTGTAAAAGAATGGAAGCTAAAAAATAGGAAACGCTTGTCATAAATGTAGCACGTGCTCCATCATATACAAAGGATGTGTTCTAGATTTCAGGCACTTTGAACTGCTTTCAGTTAGTGTTCCAATTTATAGATTTCACTTTTCTAGTTGACAACATCTTACAAGCAGAGCTTCTCATCCCTGACAGAATTGGTAGCTAGTAGCCATTACTGGGGCTGGAGTGGAAGGCAATTGATGAGTTCATTTTTATTGATTCCCTTCCAGTGCAAGAGCTTGGTCTGCAGATCTTGAAACCTGTTTAAAATGAGTTAGGGATAATTAACAGCAAACTGTTTGAAGAGTATCTCAATTCATGGGAAAGTACTGTAATTTTTCTGTATTACTCATAGTAAAATTTTGAGTACACGACAGTACTGTTCTATGTGTTGCTCTCGTGGAATAAACAGTGATGCATAGGCGCACACTCTTGTCTTGCATCTGGTTTTCTGCTGTCTTGGCAGACAGTAGTTGACAAAGCACAGGCATGGAACTTGTATTGCAACAGACACATTGCTGGACTAATTTTTTTATCATCATTGGATGTGCTCATCATGTTGAATGTTCTCAAGAGTAAGCTTTGTTTATACTGATGTTTAATATTTGAAATGATTCTAAAATACATACACAACTACTAAAATAGTTACAGAAGTTCAAAAGAAGTTACACTGGTAGTGCTGAGCCTCGGTAGATCTTTAATTTTTTCTTGTAGTTTATCAGGTAGTATTGGAGTGGTTCACTGGAAAGAGTTCTTGTAAATACTGCTGCGTGTATTTTAGCATCCTCACCAAAAAAAACCCAACCAACCAAACGAAAAAACCCAACCCACCACAAATCCAAAATCTTCAGCATTATCAGAAACTAGGATAAATCTTTGACATGGTACTTGCACGCTTGTAGCACAGAATGTACCATTTGCAGTTATTTGTTACCTGTGCAGCCAGTGGATCCTGGAAATGTTGTTACTACAGGGAGACCGTGCAGCTGATAAATTTGAGCCCAGAAAAAATGCTTCATTGTGTGGTCAGGTACTGAATATAGATAAACTTTCTTCAGTGCGTTCATATTTCTTTTCATCTTTGAAGGTCTTGCTATATGAGGGAGAGGAATTGGAACAGGACTTTTAATACAAAAGTACAATTTTTAGGATGTGTCCATCCTTTGCTTCCTGTTTCTCCCCATATTTCTGACTTTTTGATACAGGAATCACCAACTGGTTAGGTAGTACCTCTCTGAAATATGTAGCCCATTTCATCACCCAGCTGTCCCTAGACTGGAGAGGAAAGACTGCCTTTACTGCATTGGGGTGAGACTGTTGTGTAGTGAATAGGTATAAAAAAATTGCAGAATAATCTTTGAGAAGTTGGGATTTCTCTCTGGGCTTAGTAGCGTCTATAACCGTAGAATGAAGATGTGATAAGCAGCCATATGGGATTTATTAAGACCAGAATTTCAGCCTTAAATTTAGTCTCAAGACATCAAGAATTCCATTCTGCCTCCAGAATTGTTAATGTACTTTAATGAATCCATAGTGTGACATGTATAAACAGTCTTGGGAGGGATGAACATAACCCAGGAACTCCTCTTTGTGAAGTGCATGGTTTCACTGGCTGACAGTCATGCAGCCTCTTAGAGCTTCCCTTTTGTGTTCTTGGTCACAGTGGTTCACCTTCACCAAAAGAGAAAGAATCCACACCAGATCCACCATTAACCTAGGGCCAGAGCACTTTTCTGAGAGGGCACAAGCTATGAATTTGAATTTCCTTAAGCCAAAGGCTATTACATAATAAGCTGAGCATCTTCTAATTTTTCAAGTGAGGTTTGAAATTATTGGCTTTAAAGAGATGTCTTATCACCCGGAGATGCTTACCAGTTAAATTGTTGTTTCCTAAATATTTTGCATGGTATTTGGCTTTCAATCTTAGATGCAATCATTTAAATTGAGCTTAAGACCAGCAGTAAGTTCAGAAGCAATTTGGGGATCAGAGTTCTAGTTGTTTAGGAGCTGCCTTGAATAAAAGACCCAGAGTCCAGCCTCTGGATTCCATGGACAAACTTATCTGTGTGATTATTATGTCAAGAACAAAAATGTAACTGAAGAGTAGGCTGGGAGAACATGTACCAGGAACATAAAATATATTTGTGAAAGCAAAAGAACAAAAGAAGTGACTATGTAACATTGCTGGAAATACAAAATGAAATATTATCTTGCCAAGCAGCTGTTACTTTAGTCCTATTTTTACTCAGTCCATCATATACTGCAAAAAAGTGCATTCTCTAATTGCATTCCCTTAAGTGCTTTAACCTGGTGTGTGCAAGCTCTGGAGATCATTCAGTCTTGAATGAAAGAAGTGGGTGGCAAACAGTAAAAGATGCTCCCATTTGTGGGTTTTTTTTTTTACAATGTAAAACTTTTTTTTATAATGTTTTGTGTCAGAGTAGCAGCTGGAACCTGTTTAGTTTTTAGTGTGTATTCTTAGGAGTAGAAGTCTTTATGCAGTCCTGCTGGCTTATTCTCCACTGTTTGTCCTGGTAACTGTTGGATTTATTGGATGTGTTCAACCAATTTTTAGGAAAACAAGAGGACTAGACAGAAGGAAAAAATAGCTTGTAAGTGTCCAGTGGAATAGAGCATGTGGCATACCATCCCCCTCCTCCTCCACTCTTCTCTTCCTGGGAGAATTCCCAGGGAATCATGCAGAAGATATTATGGCTGTCCCACTCATTAATTGAAATCCAGGTACAGGTTCCTGCTTCACTTAATAAGGCATTATCCAGAACAAGAAGCTGCTCTGAATTAGGGAAAGCAGAAAAAAGAACTTGGACTTCTCATATCCTAGGCCAGTATACTAACCATGTGCTTGACTGGCAAGTCTTTCCTTTTCAGCTGTAATTTTCTTTCGCTGTAGGAACTGAAAAGTTACGGTTTCATTCCAGTGCAAAACAAAAACAGTTTACAAACTTTAAAAGCTATCATGAAACAGGATTATTGCCCTGTAAGCCAGCTCAGTTCAAACACTTCACTCATCACTTAAATGAAACCATCTAACTTCTTGCCTTTTGTCCACAGCGCTCTTACTTTCGAACTCTTCTCATGTATGGGTTCCACTTCCTTGTGTGGTTTCTCTGTGTCAAAGAGATCAGGGACACGCAGTGCGGATTTAAACTTTTAACCAGAGAAGCTGCCGCGCGGACTTTCTCAACTCTTCATATAGAACGCTGGTAAATTCTTTCTCTTTTGTTGTTTTTTTCCTAATTGAACGTGGTTTTGAAAAAGTAATTTCAGTATTGCAGCTACTATGAAGCATGTGATGTCTGTGTGTAAATCCTAGCTGCTCAGTTTAACCAATTATAGTACTATTTGCATGGCAATTTAGATTTTTTGTTATGCTAAAATATCCGGGTAATTGCAAGGAATTCTGTTTTATTATTAAGATGTACATTAAGAAACAGTTAAGTATTTAATTTTATTCTTTCTTCCTGTGATGATAGGGAGAAGGGGAACAGATGGGCTTACTGAGTCCTGATTTTAAAATAGCATCCAACATAAACTGCAGGAAGGATTTTAGGACTACATTGCTGAGGCCTTGGATGGCAACAATTGACTGCTTACAAATTCATTTTACTTTGCCATGTGGTATAGAAAGAGTTATGTAATACTAGGTAGGACAGTTTGGTTTTGCCTTGTCAGAGCAACTGGTAATTGATTAGGAGAGGGGAGCAAAAAAAAAAAAGGAAAATTCAGTAACTCTTTTCACCTCTGAAAGAAATTCCAAACAAACAATTTTTGATTGTGTTGTAATCCACTCTCTATTTGTAGAGAGTTCTCTCTCCTTTTACAGATAGGAGCCATGCAAGCAGAGTAAGAAATGGAGAGCAGCTCTTGTTATGATAAGGCAAATTAGGAGTTATTATTATTAGTGTGGTGGGTTGACCCTGGCTGGAGGC